GCTAATCAGAGCCTCAAAAGAGTGAAGCCGTCTGCTCTCTGCCTACCCCACTTCCTTTTTTTTCTCTCCTGTTTGCTCTTTCTCCTTTAAATACGGAATTTCCTAAAACCCCGTTTGGAAAAAGCACAGGTCACAGATGCTCCTGTGAGTTGCATTTTTTTCCCCCCGCATATCCTCAACCTTGGCCAAATGATCTCTAATCAACAGAGACCTGCCTCGGTCACTTTTTGGTTTGCAGTCCCAAGTCAGTTGATTTTAGTTAATCTAAAGGAGATTAAGACTATTTTGAGTGGGCTTCACTTAATCTGGTGATTGTCCTCAATAGACGGGCTGGGGCTTCCCTGAGGTACAAAATTATCCTTGCTGGCCTGATGTAGTAAGCAGTCTCTTGAGGAAACCCACAAGGAGAAGGATAGAGGTGACTTCTAGAAGCTGAAGGCAACTCCAGCCAACATCCGCAAAAACCTGGGGCTCTCAGTCACATGGCTATGAGGAAAATCATTCTGCAAACAATCTGGAGGAGCTTGGGATCACATCTTCTCCAGTTGAGCCTCCAGATAAAAACAGCCTAGCTGACACCTTGATTGCAGTCTTGTGAGACCCAGAGCCAAGGATCCAGCTAAGCCTTGTCTAGACTGCTGACTGCTGGGAACTGAGATAATAAATGAATAATTGTTTTAAGTTACTAATTGTGTTACCCCATTTTCACAGAGCTGTAAAGAAATACCCGATACTGATTAATTTATAAAGAAATGAGGTTTAATTGAGTTATGGTTTTGCAGGCTATATATGAAGCATGGTGGGAGAGGCCTCAGGAAACTTACAGTCATGATAGAAGGCGAAGGGGAAACAGGCTGGTTACATGGCTGGAGCAGGAGGAAGAGAGAGGGTGGCAGGTGCCACACACTTTTAAACAACTGGATCTGCTGCGAACTCTCTCAGGGGAATAGCACCAAAGGGAGGAATCTGCTCCTGTGATCCAGTCACCCCCACCAGGCCCTAATTCCAACATTGTGGATTACAATTAGACATGAGATTTGGGTAGGGACACAAATCCAAATCATGCCACTACTGTTGCAACGTCTTAGAAACAAGATGAACCCTACTTAAAATTTGGTTTGGAAGTCAAGAATGATGGTGCCATAAATATATCAAGAGCATAGGAAAAGGTTTATTATTGATATATTCTCAAGGCTTTTTTGGGAGGATGGAGCAGGCCTCCTAAACTGGTCTAAAAGTTATTTAAGAGAACAAGTGTTCTGGGCTGAATTGTGTTACTTCCCCCTTCCCCCAGCCAAATATATACGTTGAACTCTTAACCCCCGTAAGTCAGAATGTGACTATATTTGGAGATAGAGCCTTTAGGGAGGTAATTCCAGTTAAATGAGGTCACTGAGGGTGGGCCTTAATCCAATATAACGGGTGTTCTCATAAGAAGAGGCAATTTGGATACAGAAAGGTGAACAGGAGGATCATGTAAAGTCACAGGGAGAAGATGGTCTCACAGTGACTTCACAGGAAACCAACCCTGCCAACTTCTGGCCTCCAGAATTCTGAAAAAATAAATTTCAATTTAAGCCATCCAATCTGTGGCACTTATGGTCCTGAACCAAACTGAGGATCAGGCTATTTCTCATGGCCAATAACAAGATACGGATGAACTGAGGAGGAAGAGAGTTTTTATTTCTCTAACTGGTTACAGGGAAAAGGCCTGGAAATTATAGCCAGAACAACTCAAAATTATAAAGTTTTTCAGAGTTTATATACCTTCCAAGCTATATGTCTACATGTAAATGTGCATTCATCTAAATACATAAGTGATTAACTTCCTTTAATCTATAACTAAGGTCTGAGTCCTGAAGACCTTTCTCTGGAGCCTCAGTAAATTTACTTAGTCTAAATGGGTCTCGGTGGTGGGTGATTACCCTTATCTTGTGTCCTGCTAAATTACGGAGGTTTGGGGAGTTCCTTCAGACCTCCAAAACACTCATCTGTGGAGGCCTGGGGAGTTTCTTCAGACTCTCAGTAAAACTCGTTTAATCCTAAACGGGTGCTGTTAAGAATTCCTTAGTTATTTTTGTCATGCTTTAAGGCCCAGGAAAGGCCTAGGCAAAACTCTTGATGGGCTTTTGTTACACCCCAGCCTTTGTATAAAAAGGCACTGGCTTTTTTTTAGCTTTCAATATTTAACTTAACCTCTCAGTCGGTACTTAAACAGTTGTGATGGAGGCCTACCTTAGTGAAACCTGGCCTGCCACCCTTTCTCAGCCCTAGGAAACTAATATAGCAAGAAAAAAGAGAGTCTTGGTTTTTTTTTTAAAATAATGGTTAGGGGATGGCGTTAGACAAAGGGTTTCCACACATGAGAAAGGGCTTGGCAGCCAGAGCCAAAAGAGGGAGCGTCTGGGCTTTCTTATCCACTTGCCCAGATGTGAGAAACAGGGGAAGAGCTATCAGCAATCAAACATCACAAAACAGAGTCAGACTTTTATCACAGCTAAGTTTGTGGTAAACACTTACTATTTCAGGGCACCATCTAACTCCAACGACAGTGTCTGTGTCTCTTTTCTTGAGCTCTTGCTCTGAAGCAAGCCCTGATGCCACTCTCACAGGCCAGAGTGCTGGGCAATCAACAGTCCTCGCCTTCAACTGTTGATGTGAGAGTTTGTGTGCAAATACTCCAGCTTCCTCATCCCTTGGATGGGATTTCTCTGAGGTGTGTGTTCTTCATCTCCATCCAGAGTTTCTCCTGTGGCATTAAGCTACAGATGCCCACAGTGCCAGCCGGTCAGATGACTTACCTGGGTTGTCTACCTTCTCTCCCCTCCTGGTGCTTCCCAAGGTTCTCAAATGGGTCACTTGTACTGGATACTGGCCTCAGGGTTTGCTTCAGGAAACCCAACATTGAGACAATGAATTAATACTGCTATCAGGGCATGGTCAAGGCCTTCCAGCCAAAGATCACTAGGGACAAACCTGCAGTTGAACCAGCTGAGTTTATTATTTTTTGCAGTGAAGGATACATGCCATGAAAAATTATAGGGTGTTTCAGTAAGAGGGTGTTAGAAAGAACTTTCTATTTATTTATTTATTTATTTTTATTATACTTAAGTTCTGGGGTACATGTGCAGAACATGCAGGTGTGTTACATAGGTATACAAATGCCATGGTGGCTTGCTGCATCCATCACCCCGTGATCTACATTAGGTATTTCTCCTAATGCTATCCCTCCCCTATCCTCCCACCTCCTGCTCTCCCTCCCCCAGCACCCCACCACCCAACAGGCCCTGGTGTGTGATGTTCCCTTCCCTGTGTCCATGTGTTCTCATTGTTCAACACCCACTTATGAGTGAGAACAGGCAGTATTTGGTTTCCTGTTCTTGTGTCAGTTTGCTGAGAATGATGGTTTCCAGCTTTATCCGTGTCCTTGCAAAGAATATGAACTCATCCTTTTTTTAATCCTAGAAGAAAACCTAGGCAGTACCATTCAGGACATTGGCATGGGCAAGGACTTCATGACTAAACCACCAAAAGCAATGGCAAGAAAAGCCAAAATAGACAAATGGGATGTAATTAAACTTAAGAGCTTCTGCATAGCCAAAGAAACTATCATTAGAATGAACCGGCAACCAACAGAATAGGAAAAAATTTTGCAATCTACCCATCTGAGAAAGGATTAATATCCAGAATCTACAAAGAACTAAAACAAATTTGCAATAAAAAACCAAACAACCCCATCAAAAAGTGGGCAAAGGATATGAACAGACACTTCTCAAAAGAAGACATTTATGCAGCCGACAAACATAAAAAAGAACTTCTTACAGGGTTTGGACTTTGATTTAGGAGATGGTCTAAGGAAGTTGGAGTTCACTCTAGAATGGATGTTGTCAGAAAGGTAGGCAATTCTGTGAGAATCCTAGTAAATCTTATTTATAGGTAAGGGAGATTAAGTCCATAGGTAGGGGAGATTAGAATCAGATTTAAGTTGTAATTGAAAGAGAAACAGCAACTCATTTTGGCTGAAAGCCATTATGTTTGGTGTTTTGTGGGTGGCACCATGAGTCGTTTTCGTTGATGCTTAGAACTATGAAGTTAACTTGCTTTGCCTCACCTTATTATGATCGCAGAGCAACCTTGTCTGAATTGGTACTCTGTGTGATGGTTTTAAAGTTTAAAAGGAGATTAGCATGCCCTAGGTGTGAGTCCCGGGTCAGGTTCTGAATATCAAGGTCTGCTTTCTTTTTCAGCATTTGGAAAATGCCTGGCACATGGTAAACGCTCGATATCATCCACCATCAGCCTGAGCCTGGGGCGCCACACCCATCCTGAATTAGGTATGAATATTCACATTTTACGAGTGAGGAAAGAAGAGTGTGATCGGAACTAAAGCATTGTGTCAACAGGTACATCACACTGGGATGGAGAGTGATGTCCTGAGTCTGCGTTTGCTTCCAACGTGTGTCACTTGGAGAAGAAAGCCCTGGCCGGGCGGTCGGAGCCACGCCGCGTCTCGGCGACAGGGGGCGCTGTGTCCTGCGAAAAGTCAAAGCGCCGGAAGCCGCCCTGGGTGTCTTTCAGCCTCTTGGTCTTACCGAAAGTGAGGCCGCGTTTTACAGCCAACATATTATTATTCGGATAATAGGTAAATTAGCGCCACCCGGACCCCGCACTTCAACACGCACTGAAGGGATAAACACATACTACCGAAAAAGGTTTTCGCCCTTGGTGGGCAGGGTATGGGGCGCGCAGCTGCAATCTGCAAACCTTTGCAGGGCGCAGGGGTTCGTGCACCCGCTCAAGAACACAGAAACCTCCATTCTCCGCCCTGTAAAGCACTCCGGGCCCAGGGGGCTGGAGAGAGCACTGGCGAGGCCGAGCCAGGCGGCGCCCTCGGCGTCAACCTGAAGGTCAGGCTCGCGGGCGTCCGGGCCCAGCCCCGAGGACTTTGCGGTTCCTGGCCCGCCCCCGCGCCCCGCCGCGGCCGCCGCCTTCCGGCCCGAGTTCCGGAGACTCAGCATGACGCTGCCGGCCAGGGTTTTCTTTGCTCGGGGGTCCCGGCTGCCCGGTGGCCTTGCTCCGCGGCGGGTAAGGCGCCCGGGGGTACGGGGAGCGAGGACAGGGCGTCCCGGGGCGCAAAGAGGGAGGACAGGGCGTCCTGGAGCGCTGAGGGAGCACAGAGCGACTCCGGGCGCGGGGAGAGAGGACGTCTCGGAGCGCAAGAGAAAGGGCGGGAGGTCTTGGGGTACAAAGAGAGGGCCCGGCGTCCCAGGGGCTCAGGGAGCGAGGACAGGGCGTTTGGGGGCCCGGAGAGGTCCCGGAGCAAAGGGCAACGCCGGGAGTGAGCACCGGGGCCTGGGTCGTCTTCGGCTGTCAGATGAAGCCCTGGTGTGTGGAGAGGGTTAGGAGAGACACGTGATTTTCGAAGTTTTCAGTTCTGCAAGTTTCCAACCTGTGCATAAATAGATAGAAAGAGGTAGGGAAGGATACAGCGCACGTCCGACCGTGGAGGCGTGAGAGAGGGACCTGGCCGAGCGAGCACTGGCCTTTGACGTCCTTCGTTGTGAGGAAAGCCCATCTATGTGTTAGTTATGGAATTGAACACTAATACAAACAAATTCTCAGTAAAAATGAAAGAAAAACAAAACCTCGGCTGTTTATAGACTCCCCCTCCCAGATGTGTAGCTGGGAGAGGTACGTCTCACGCTGGTTCCACTTCTCTCTCGCCCATACTTCTGTCACCATCTCCCCATTGCACCCATAATGGAAATAAAATACTGCAAGTGAAAAGAGCTAGGAAGAAGAAAGAGAAACCAAAACAAAAAAGAAGCAATGCTATCCAAGACAGGCCCTCCCCACAACTAAATTACAAAATCGCAATAAATAAACTGAAAAGCAGATTTTCTTTAGCCAGGTAGAAAAATTAATATGTCCATTGTGAAAAAACTTCTTTTGATTTGATAGAATGGGCAGCCACAGTGTTCTTTTTTTAAAAAATATGAGCAGCAGTAGTTCCAAATATGAACACAAAGAATTAGTATGGTGGTTGCCTCAAGAGATCTTTCTTTTAAAAAGTGAGCTCTGTTCAAGGTTAAAGTTTTGCTGATTTTTTTTTCCTCTTCCTGTGAAAACTGGGTTATAGGTCATTGTAAAGGAAGCCTGTATATTCTGATTCTTTCTCAGTGACATTTCTCATTTGAAATCTACAACAGCTCTTTGATGCCTTCAGAGATTTTATTTTATTTATTTAGTTTTTGAAAGACGGGGTTTCACCATGTTGGTCAGGCTGGTCTTGAATTCCCGACCTCAGGGGATCCACCCACCTTGGCCTCCAAAGTGTTGGATTACAGGCGTGAACCACCACGCCCCGCCTGAGATTTTATTTTTTAACACACATCATTAGGATCATAGTAATAAGGTCACACAGACCTTATCCCAGCTCTTCTGACACCATTAGACAATACCATTTGAAAGGGAGAAAATGAACTCGTTTAAAAATTAATTGTAATCTGACAATTTTGGAATTTATTTGCTGAAGAAAAAAGTGGAAGTTTTGAGGATTGGGGTTGGGAGGCATGAGAGGCCCACCTGATAGTGTGGTTTGTCCCCTTCCTAGCACATGTAGCCTCAAGTTTGAATTCCTGGGAGAATAAAAGGCTTTGCATCTGTGAAGTGGGAGGTTGTTCCAGGGAACATCATGTTTTTGTGGGCAAATACAAGTTGTTATAATTAAAACCCCTAATTTGAATATTTTTGTTACCAAGAACCAAGGCAAATGTTTCATTTGTCATAAAACCTATTTGTAAAGTGCTATATTAAATTGTGCTGCTGGCTAGTAGGCCCCAGTTCAACTGAATGGATATTTATTGAGGACGAGCTTTGTGTCTGGCCCTGTGCTATGCCCTGGGACTCAAGATAAAAAAAAAAAAAATGAGCCCTGCTCTCAACTGCTCTCAAGTTGCTCTCAGTTCTATGGGGGAAAACATTCAGTCATTCAGTTGCTTATGAGGAAATACTAATTAAGTAAGTACTTACTAAGTGTTGGACATTTTTGGCAATTTGTGGTTGAAAGACATTCCTACCTTTAATGCACTAATAGTCTCATATATGTTTTTAAAGCCATAAATAATAACCAATAAGTAGGCCTTGAAATCAATTTAGTGAAACAAAATAGATGTTAAAAAAATTAATGGGAATAGAATAGGATGTATCTAAATTCATCTCATATAGTAAGGTTGTTTTCTGTGAAACTTTAAAAAAAACACTTTGTTTTTTAGATTCATTCTTTGATTACTATCATGCACACTGCCATTTTTCTTTTCCTTTTGTTTTTATCGAGTAAAATCTAACTATTTTTAGAAAAATGATTCCTGACCAATATTAATTCAGCAGCGCAGTTAAAAAAACAGTAACAAATGACCTCAAACTGGCCACCCAAAAATAACTAGGGTTAACATTTGGGGAACGTCATTCTAGGCGTCTGTTCTGGTGAAAGGATGGATAGGCATGATTTTACTTGGATGTCACATTTTCCCTTAGAGTGCCGTCAACATTGTTTCATTGTTTTCTCGTGATGAATATTGTCTTGGAGCAGTATAAAACCAGCTAGATATGTTTTTTTTCTTTTCTTTTTTTTTTTTTAAATCTGGAAACCTAAATATTTCTTTATCCAGTGTAAAATTCTAGAATATAGGCTCTGTGCAGGCAAAGATTTTCACCTGGTTTGTTTACTATTTATATCTAGAACAGTGCTTGGTATAGAGTAAACATGGAACAAATATCTGTTAACATGAAGGAACATGTGTACTGTGTTGCTATGAACATGTGTATGTTGCTATATAAAGCAGATTTCTCACTATGGCTCACGTTCAAAAAAATCTGAGAAATGATAGTCTAGTGAGTCACCAGCAGACATCAATAGACTGTGAAGATGCAGACATGTATTATAATGACCAAAACTGTGTGTACTTTAGAGGAGGCAGGGAGGGCTTCATGGAGGAGGTGGCCCCAGGAGCTTACTGTTAAACCAGGAGTTGGAATTTCTGTGGTCCCAATGGCAATCTAGACCTAAGGAATAACATGTATCAAGAAGTGAAGGAGTGGCTTATTTATGAAAATTCAAGTGGTTTGGAATTGTGGAGTTGATGAAGTATGGGAACAGAGAGAAGCATGAAGAGATGATATTCGTCAGGTTGCTGGGGTCCAGGGCATGGTGGGCTTCTCTTATGTAGCAAATTGAGCACTTACTATTTGCTAGGCACCTTACTAGGGATATGAGGGTGAGAAGAAGAGCTGATTCCTTCTGTCAAGAAGCTTAGAGTCCAGTGGCATTATGTTACGATGTGCTGCATGTTAGGTTGGGTGTTCTTGCTTTTGGAGGGGATCCAAAATAAATAGCATCTGTTTTTTCCAGTCTGAAAAACGAGTGAAGACGGAAGCCAGAGTATCACTTTTACTGTGGTTTGTGAGAGGCAGCCGGGCCCGTCAGCTGGATTTTCTGGAGTAGACAGACTTACCTAATTCTGGAGGAGGGTTGAACATTGTCCTCTGAAAGCAGCTAGATCCCAAGAGGAAGAAGACCAAGGAGATTGTTCATATTCAATGATTCTGTCAAAATTTGCCAGTCATATCAACTGTCTCTGCAGGGACAGATTGTACCTTACTTTGTGTTGCTATAAAGGAATACCTGAGGCTAGGTAATTTATAAAGAAAGGGGTTTATTTGGCTCATGGTTATGATGCCTGGACAAGTTCAAAACTGGGCATCTGCATCTGGTGATGACCTAGGGCTGTTTGTTCTTGTGGCAGAAGGTGAAGGGGAACCGGTGTTTGCAGAGATGGAAGTGAGGAGGTGTTGGGAGGTGCCGGCAAGAGAGGAAGTGAGAGAGTGTTGGGAGGTGCCAGATTCTTTCACACCCTGCTTTAGTGGAAACGAATAGAGTGCAAACTCACTTGCCACTGCTAGGATGAGGATGGCACTACGACATTTGTGAGGGATCTGACCCCATAACCCAAGCACCTCTCGTTAGTCCCCACCTCCAAGGGGATCACATTTCAACATGAGGTTTCAAGGGACAAACATCCAAACATCCTTAGTGGGTTGACTAAGGGGACAGAGAGAAGCCTTGAGTTGTACCACCTGAGCTTCTCACAGCAGGGAGAGGTCCGGACTGGAGAAGAAGCATCTCCTGCTCATGGGGGAAGTACGTCCAGTTTTATGAGAGCGTTGTTGTTGTTGTTTGGTATATATCAAAGCTGAGACCTGAAAGTCGAGTAGGAGTTAGCCAAAGGGAGAGATGTAAGAATGTTTTAGACAGGAGAGTAGCCTATGGGAAGGCCCATCATAGAAGGCCCGTCATAGAGAATGAGGAGGCAGGAGGTGAGAGACAGGTTAGTGAGCAGCCTATGGGCTGCGTAAAGGAGTTAGAACTTTCTCCTGAGGGGTGGGAGTGGGGATGAGAGTGGAGACAAATAGCCAAACCCTGGGTAATCCTCTCTTCTGATAAGCAGTGATGGTAGCCTCAACGAGGGCATGCTTTGAGTGTCAAGTGATATTTAGGAGGTAAAATCAGAGGCCTTGGTAATTGGTTGGTAGTGAGGATGGGAGATGGGGCTGTGGTCGGGTGAGATGTTGCCATCCAAATTGTGACCGGAAATGTGATATCATCAGGTAAAGATTGGAAATAGAGAGACCAAATGTCAAAGCACCAGTAATGAGGGTCTGAACTGAGGGTGGCATTAGAGCTATCGGGGACTGAAATGAACTGGGTTTGGTTTGAATGTGTGGGGATAAGACAAAGATTTTTGTGTTTGGCCCCTGAGCTAAGGACAATGCTACTCTCTTGAGTGATGACATTAAGTGGGGCCTGGAGGGAGAAGAGGAGTAAGTGACATTAGTCTTGAAATGTCAGTAGGGTCTGGAACTCCTCAAGTGGTATATAGATAATTAAGCTGCAGATTTGGAGGTAAGTAATGTGAATTCTGCCTGGGAGTGTTAGGGAAGACACCAGAGCTCTCACAGCTGTGTTTGAATGATGGGAGCAACTTGTGTAAAGACAGGGAAGAAGGAAAGAGTTTGTGTTTGGGGAACCCTGAGTACTTTGTTTTCCTGAGTGTAAATTTCAGGGGAGATGAGGCAGGAGAGAGGGGCAGCTAAGTCATGAAGACATGTGCTGTGGGGAGCGAAGGAATCTGGATGTTGTGTAGCTACCAGGAGCATTTAGAAGTTCCTAAGGAGAGAAGTAGCGTGATCCCATTGGCAGTCCTCTGGAGATCAGTTAGAAGATGACACAGAGCAGGCCCTCAGTGTTTGTGAATGTTGTGAGACGGGTTTGAAATCGGGTGGTGGATAAAGAGAAGGACACTGGGGAGGTAAAGAGGAGGAGGGAGCCACCGAGGTTGGGGGCAGGACAGGGGATAGGGTTGGCATTAGTGGATGAATCCTGGCCTTGGAGCTTAAGTATGCATCTGAAGAAATTTCAAAAAAAACTTTCTCCCCAGACTACAAAGAGAACTTTATAATATTATTAAAAAAATCTAGATCTCAGATATCTCCTAAAGGCCATCATACCTATGTATGGGGTACATGTGATATATATGGGGTACCTATATATGGGGTACATTCACATCAAAACAGGGGTGAATTTTAAAGATAACCAGAGTTTTTTATAGCCCATAGTAGAAAGCATGCCATTGATGTTTAGCAACTTTTAGGTTTTGCAGAAAATTCTAGGCAGAAAATGATCAGCATTCTCAGCTGTCCTGTGCTCTTCTCTTCCTAAGTTGATAAATCACTCTGAGATCTAAGTGTCAGGGTAATTATAAGTAAGTCTAGAAGAAGAGGCCAACTGTGCTTTGATCCCTTCTAGTCTGGGAAACACTCACACTGCATTGTGCCATAAAAGCAGTGACAGAACTGTAGGCTTTCGTAATTGCTGGAATGATGAAATGATGTTGCCATTTACCTTTAGCCCTGATTTGTTCTCTATGCTTCAAAACCATATTTCCTACTGCAGCTTATATGTCTCTACCTGACCATTCCAGAAGCATCCCAAGTGTAGTGTTTCTAATGCAGAACTCATTATCCTCAGTGCTCCAACTTTGTCGTCTCAGGCCCATCCAGTCATTTCAGTTAGGGCATCACTCTGCATGCAGCCACTTAAAACTAGAAAATTCAGTTACCGTCTGCAGCCCTCGCCTTACCACATCTGGCTAGTTGGCTTCTGAGTTTAGGCTAATTTACATGTTAAATGTGTGTGGAATATGTTGTCTCCTCTTAATTTCTGCTGCCCTCAGTATCTCTCACCTAGACTCATAACTTCTGTCTGATGAGTCTATTTCCTTTTTTTCTGGCTCAAAGTGAAACCTTAATTTTTCTAGAACTCAAAGGCAGTGCAGATGGAACAGGGATATTGAGGTAAAGGTGAGAGAGATGGAAAAATATCTCTCAGTTCTTTTCAGTAAACACGATACCTGTTTATATGCTTTTAATGCAATAGGCAAAAGTGTGATGAAATAGATCAAGTACAAAAGCCAATGCTCATGTTGTTGAGCATGAGGCAAGAAGAAATCACAGAGCTAGTGGATATCCTAAATACCCTGACTTGATCATTACACATTCTGTGCATGGAACTAAATATCACATGTACCCCATACATAGGTAAAAATGTTATATATAAATAAAATATTTTTTTTTTAAAAAGAAATAATTGGACCAGGCAATATTAGTTACACTGGTAACTCATTATGTCCTCATTTTCTGGGACCTTTGCTCTTGCAAGTAATTTTATTTGCTAACTTCCCACCACTTCACGTGATAGCCTCCTGGTCTAAGCCATCATCATCTCTTGCCTGGCCTGTTACACAAGTGTCCTGATAGTCTCTGCTTACAACCTTGCCCTCTACTCCATGGCAGCCAGATCCCCCTAAAAACTTAAGGCAGATCATGTCCATTCTCTGCTTAAAACTTAGCAGATGTTTCCCACTTGACTTAGAGTAAGTCTGCATAGTGGCTGACTCGGCCTGCATCATCCAGTCCCCTTTACCTCACTGATCTCTTCTCCTTTTCCAGCCACACTGGCTTCCCGACTATTCCCTCATCCGTAAGCATGCCCCTGCTTAGGGCCTTTGCTCCCATTCCTTTTTGCCTAAAACCCTATGATTCATTCTTCTCCTTCAGATCTTTGCTCCAATGTCACCTTCTCAATGAGGCCTTTGCTGACAACTCTATTTAACATAGCAATGCTCTACCCCTATTCTCTTATTTTCCCCACATTACATATTAGCTTTCAATATACTACATATTTAACTTAATTCCTGTATCCCTCATTCCTCCAAGGATAATCTTGCTGAGGTTAGAATATTCTGTCTTTTTTTTTTTAATTGCTGTACTGCCGTGTCTAGAACAGTGCCTGGGGCATAATAGATGCTCAAAAAACACTTGCTTAAAATGAATAAATGAATGAACTCTATATCCATCATAATGTCATGTTTATCCCTAACACATTTTTATGTAAGCAAATTCTCGAACCCTTTGCAAGAGCAGAGATTCTAATTTTTGGTTTAAAAAAATTGTCATTATAGTTTTGGTTAACATGAATAGGGGATCAATAAGAGATGACTCAAATCAGAGGCAGGCAGGACTGAAGACCATAGCTGAAACCATCAAATTGCCTCTTAGCTCTGTGATTTCATCTCTTTTTATTTTTTAGTACTGGAGAGGAATCTGTTTAGTCTGCATCTAACTGAAGACAGATAAGTACTGTAATAAAATGGGATGTACACCCTATAGCACAGAGCACCTACATTTTCAAGGACTCATGTTCACTGCTATAAAATATATCATTACTTAAAAATGTAATTTCTGTCTTGCTCCTGGGCAACTGCGTAGTTCAGCCTGGCCATTGGAGCTTGGAGTCCAGCTAGACACTTTCTTTTATATTTGTTCAGTCTTACCTTCAAGTTGCTGTGGCAACAAGGTCTGTGCTTTGCAGAAGCTGAGAATATCAGTGGCCTCTGTTTAGTGCCCTGCTGTAAGTTAAGGAGCAGGCAGATGTGCTTAAGCAATCCATACAGTCATGGAGCATGAGTTAACAAGGCTTGTGGCAAGCCTTGGGTGTGTTACTCAGTTATTTTAATGTCCTCAGGGCAACTATTGGCATTTGGGGTGAGACAGTTCTTCATTTTGCCATGCTGTCTTTTTCTGCACTGGAACATCCAGTAGAATATCCCACCTAGAACTCCTGATCTCAGGCGATCCACTCGCCTCACCTCCTAAAGTGCAGGGATTACAGGCATGAGCTACTGTGCCCAGCCCGATGATTTAGATTTTCTATTCTTGGGCTTATTCTAACTTTTAAGATGTCATAATTTAGGGTCACTGGAAATGACTAATTTTTTAAAAACAGTGGCAAAGAGCTGGATTTCAATCATATATTCACGTAAGATTCTGCATGTCTGTATACATGCATTTTCCAATGGAATTGGAGTCTGGCCAACCAAATGTTGGCTCAAGTTTTAAAAACATTGGCCAGGATGACAAAACATATTTGGCCTAGAATCACTAATCTACCTCTATTTGAGATATTTACCCTAGACATTTTAGACTAGCCACATATACTTAAGTAATTTAGGTATGTATCTCATTGATACACATCCCTTATCCTTGAGGGGAAGGTGTAGTGTCAAGACTCTCAGAGTTGTCATTTTGAAGATTAAAAGTGTGATCATGTCTCATTAGTTTAGATGCTGTGATTCTGGAATACATGACGGAAGAAGCTGTTGTTTATATGATGTAGGAGAATGATGAGTATGGTGAGGAAGGTGGGTGATAGCTAATTTTTTGAGGGAGAGATTTAGAGCCTGTAACTAAAAAATAATTCTGTATTGTCAAAGTTGGAAGACTAGAAAGTTTTAAGAATTTTAGATCATTAAACATCTCCAGAGAATTCAATCTTGATATGAAAGATGTTATTTATATTTTTGAAAACAACTTATATCTCTAAAAACCACAAAACAAGACTTGAAAATCTTTAAAAGCCTGTTTTGTGTCTACTTTTTATAATTAAATAAAAAACCCAGCCAAAATAATGTTTCATGTTATTAAGGATGCTTCTTTGTAGAAACAGGGGATTGAATATGATGTGATCCTGTGAGGTCTGATCTTCTTGATGGGTCTTAATGTTGAAATGAACATCTTCCTTTTAGGGAGAGAAGATGGCTTGAATTTATATCAACATATATGCTGTGTATTGTTAGAGGGTAATGTGAATTAAAATAGCATATCAATTTCTTCACTTTGGTTTGGTGGGGAAGTGGAATCATAAGGTCAGTATTGATCAGATCAAATAAGATAAATAAAACAGTGCCACATGATAACCTGTTACATTATAGACACTGTGAATCACGTGTGACATTTTTACCTTTATATCCTTTTCTCTACCGGTTAGGAGGTTGAGGAAATGTTTTAAAATAAATTTAAAAAGAAAGTTTGTATGCAAATATCTTGTTTAATTATTTTCATGAAGTCCCACATCAAATTCCCTATACACATGAACATTAAAAAGTTAAAAATTGTGGTAAAGCCTTTAGAAAATTAGAATACATTTTTTTCATTATTATTACTTAATGACAAATTTATCATTCTACTTGAGTAAACTTCTTGATTCATCATCTTGATGTAGTAGTTCTGAAGGCAGGTCACAGCCTTAAGGAAAACTGCCACTGATGTAGAAAAAGATTATTGTAGAGTTACTTGGATTACTATGCTTTGGCAAAAGGATATGAAAAGAAAATGCTTTGTCAACATGAAGCTAAAATAAATATGATGACTGGCATGGAACATAACAAGATTTACAAATTTATCTTCAGTTATTTTATACATGATCTCAAGTTTTATCTTTTGATAACTTTTTTTTTCTGCTTACAAAGATCTAATCATACGTATTGGATAGATATTGAAAGTGCTAAAAACCAACCAAACATAAAAATCCCCAAATAATTATCTATAATTTCATCACTTAGCTATAACTGTAAAGTAATGGGTGGACTCTGAAGTTAGAGTCTTTAAGTCTTTATTCCTTATTATTATTTATCTTTAAAAGTTAGCTACTTGACCTTTGTATGCTTCAATAATTTTTTTCATCTATAAAATAGGAGTAACAATAGAATCTACCGTATTGAGCTGTTTTGAGGACTGTGGTAAATATTGAATGTACTACTTATTGTTGTTATTTCCTTCTAGTCTTTTTTTTCTAAGTATATATTCTTATTTGTAGTTAAAAACATGCTGTATATTTGTTTCTTTCTTTTTTTTCATTTAACATCACATCATAAACATTTTCTTGTGGAATTTCCAGTTGATGAACAGCCTCATTCTAAATCATTGGCCACATTTCTTATTCTTTTCTTATGATAAATTTCAAGATACCCTGAATCAACTGATGACAGTCTATTTAGCTTACAGGAATATTCTGAAAGGAAATGGTAGCTTCTGGAGTTTTAACTGTAGTTTTAATCTTGCCACCATGACCTAATGGAATATCACATAACCTCCCTGGTGTGATCATTAAGCTTAGCAGAGCTTAGAGAACAGACAGAGGAATATGCAAGCTTGTTATAAGAGAAGGCTTAGGAGCCTGTCAGTCTATGTTTGAATGTTGATTCTGCAACTTCGGCAATTTTTAAAAATCACTCTGAGCCCTTTCTGTATAATAGGATAAAAATAATACCTATTTCTTGTTGTTGTTGGGAAGATTAAATAGTTTGATATGCAATCCTGGCAGGTGGTAACTACTTAATGAATATTTTTGAAAACAACTTATTCCTATTGTTCATTGTATTAAATACCTAAAGTTTGTTTTATGATTAAATGTGAGTGAATGGCAGTAATGTTCACATGTAATGTAAGTACAAGCTGTTATATATAAAATAGGGTAATAGAAATATTTTTACCCCCGAAATGGATTGATTTTTCCTCCATGTAAAGTAAGTAACAGAAGTATTCTGTTTTATGTTTTGTGTCCAGAAACCAGCATGGGAAAAGGCATTTGATTTAATAAATCTTATAAATAATTTTTAACAATTTTCTTCAGTGATTCAAAGGTGGGAAGTGATTTTCATCCAGATTATTCTTGTTGAAAGACAAAAATACTTTATGTTCATTTTTTAAAAATTAAATTTAAGCAAAATACCTACAGATAATAATGATAGCATTTATAGTGCCTACTATATGCTACACACTGCTCTAGGTACTTTATTTATTATAACTCATATAATTCTCACAATGCCATATGAAGAAATTTATTTTATTGTCCCCATTTTGTAGATGAAGGAACTGAGGCACAGAAAGGTTAAATAACCCATATAATACTCGCAATGTCATATTTATTTTATTGTCCCTATTTTGTAGGTGAAGGAATTGAGGCACAGGGAGTTTAAATAACCTGCTGAAGGTTATACAGCTCAGGACAAAATTCTGTGACATATAGTCTAGCTCCAGAGCCTGTACTTTTAAACCAGAAAGCAAAGAATAATAATGAGTACAATGCCAATGTGTTTGCAGTGAGTTTATGTTAATACAAGAATTTGATTACTATTAAATTCAAGAGCATGTTTTAAAAAATTCATCTGTTATTTGGAAATACATGTGTGCAAATTTCAATTCATTTTTCCCCTTTTAGTTTTTCAGTTATGGGACAAAAGTATTATATCAAAACACTGAAGCTTTACAGTCTAAATTCTTTTCACCCCTTCAAAAAGCGATGCTACCACCGAATAGTTTTCAAGGAAAAGTGGCATTCATTACTGGGGGAGGCACTGGCCTTGGTAAAGGAATGACAACTCTTCTGTCCAGCCTGGGTGCTCAGTGCGTGATAGCCAGCCGGTAAGTCCATCACATCAAGTCTATTGGTGACGCTTTTGAAGAAACTGTTCTGTGCCCTAGTATTGAAAACACCATTCCCAAGAGTTGTTTGATTTGCATTTTAATCTTATGTGATATATTTGAAATATTCTTTAGATTATTTATATAAATCTTTCTAGAAAAAGTCAGGTACTGATAGAGATGAAAAAAAACAATGAAAATTGTGGAACTGATGTGTTTGAGTAAACATCCACAATTTTCATTACTTGAATTTCCCCAATTTGGTGGTAGAATATTTCTTTTTCTCTATGTAAAGATGAAGTTAAAAAGTACTACATGGAGCCAGGTGGGATGGTGTGTGCTTGTAATGCTGAGAAGCTGAGGCAGGAAGATTACGTGAGGCCCAGAATTGGAGACCAGCCTGGGCAGCATAGTGAGACCTTGTCTCAAAAAAAGCAATTATTTTTTAAATACTACATGAAGGTTGCTTTGTTTTCAGTGGGAATTATTATGATTACTACTGTAATTAATAATTAACTTTATTCTGGGATAATAGATGCAGTACTTTCATTTTCTTTTCTTTCTTTCCTTAATTTTTTTTGAGACAGAGTTTTGCTCTTGTCACCCAGGCTGGGGTGCAGTGGCGCGATCTTGGCTCACTGCAACCTCCACGTCTCAGGTTCAAGTGATTCATTTGCCTCAGCCTCCTGAGTAGCTGGGATTACAGGCACTAGCCACCATGCCAGGCTAATTTTTGTATTTTTAGTATAGACGAGCTTTTGCCATATTGGGCAGGCTGGTCTCGAACTCCTGACCTCAAGTGATCTGCTTACCTTGGCTTCCCAAAGTGCTGGGATTATATGTGTGAGACACCGTGCTTGGCCAGTACTTTCATTTTCTATAAGGTAAATAGATATTTCAAAATATCTATTATTATGATGAATATAGGAAGAGTAAGACCAGGTGGAAGGAATTTCTTCTTATTAGGCATATTCTGGTACCCTATAACTGTAAGTCTGAGGCTTTAGAGACTGGTTTAAAAATTCACTCTTCCACCATTTTGAATGGTGTAAAATTTTTGGTAGGCCAAGTAGTCATCCAAACAACAGTCACTGTGTCATTTGCAACTTCAGATTTTCCAGAACATTTTTATTTTTACATTGTGATTTTTTTTTTTTTTTTGAGATGGAGTTTCACTCTTGTTACCCAGGCTGCAGTGCAATGGTGTGATCTCAGTTTGCTGCAACCTCTGCATCCCAGGTTTAAGTGATTCTCTGCCCCAGCCTCCTGAGTAGCTGGGATTACAGACATACACCACCACTCCCAACTAATTTTTTGTATTTTTAGTAGAGATGGGGTTTCTCCATGTTGGTCAGGCTGGTCTCGAACTCCTGACCTCAGGTGAGCTGCCTGTCTCAGCCTCCCAAAGTGCTGGGATTACAGGCGTGAACGAACATGCTTGGCACATTGTAATGTTTTTAAGCATTTTAAAATATTTTCATTTTAATAATTCATAATTTTTATTCTTTTTTTTTGTAGAATGAGAGACTGTGTGAATAAATGTAGACTCTTTGAAACCATAAATTTAGTCCAAAACCTACTTACATTATACCATGAATGCATTTTCTTTGTAAAGCCAGCTTATTAAGGAAATAATTTAAATTTGTAAGTAGATACTGTTAAGTGGTTTAAAAGTGACTAATAAATTAACATCAAATACAGAAAAATGATTTAAATTTGACTTTTAGAAAAAATTCACATTGATTTTTGTATATAAATAATGTCTATACGTTCTCAGAAATGCTTTTCTTTACACTGTATTCTTCAATTTATGAAATTGAAAAATATAATATGAAGTCATACAAGGCGTTTATTTCTAGGAAGATTGATGTTTTGAAAGCCACTGCAGAAGAAATTTCTTCTCAAACTGGAAATAAGGTACGTTAAAAATCAGTTATTTAATTTAGATTTAGGAACTATAACATTTCAGTTAATTTGTTCATGCTTTTGATTTAAGAAATCTGGAAAATATCATATTATTTTTGTTATTTTGCAGGTTCATGCAATTCAGTGTGATGTAAGGGATCCTGCTATGGTTCAAAACACTGTGTCAGAACTGATCAAAGTTGCAGGACATCCTAATGTAAGTGTAGTGATGATGAAGCCAAAGGACAAGACACTTAATATTGATAATACCCACCAACATGTACAAAGGAAATAAAATATTGATACACATGTAGGACAGGGAAGCCCCAAGCTGGGGCTTAGCCTGGGAAGGTTCTTGCCTTCACCCAGGAAATAATTCAAGGCTGAGCTACTAGTAGAAAACAGCTTTATTGAAGCAGCAGCAGTGGAATGGATCTGTGACTGCTCCTTCAGAGCAGGGCAACCCCACAGTCAATGTGCTGGGCAGAGCAGTGGAGAGGCAGTTTTATAGTCATGTTTATACCCACTTTTAATTACATACAAATTAATTAGGTTTATGCAGAAATTTCTAGAAAAGGGTTGGTGACTTCTGATTCGTCAGTTTATTGCCATGGAAAGGGGCAGTAACTTGCTGGCATTGCCATGGCAATGGTAAACAAACATGGTACATTTAGTGGGTATGTCTAAAGAGGGGGTGTTTCATTCAGGACATGGTTTAACTAATCCTTAATTTGCTCCTGTGATGGAGCTCTGCTTCCAGAGTTGAGGTCCACCTCCTACCTCAATATGAGCAAGTGCTGTGTTGAGAAGCACTTATTTTCTGTCCCTAGGAAAATGCCAGCTCTGCTAAAGCATCGAACAGAGTAGGAAGACTGCTACACAACTTCCTTTCAGGAATACTTAAAGAATCCATCTATGACTGATCATAAAACAAACTTGATTTCACTTTAATAAGATTATGAAATAACAAGAGCAGTCATCCAAGAGCACAGCATTGAGTTTAAATGATTCAAGGTCTTTGCTTCTTCTAATAACTTTTGATTATCTTCCTCAGTGAAGGAGAACAATACAAACATGAAAAACTATAAGAAATTCAAAATTTCTCCTTTTAATACCTGAAATATGCATTAACATTTTGCTGTTGCTTGGTACATTTATTGGAATAGGAAGCTATTTGTTCTAGTAGTCTCAAAGAGGGCACTTTTCCATGTTACAGATATTTTCAGAGAGACCAAAAACATTGAATCTCCTGTAGAACTAGGCAGAATCTTTATTGATGGTAAATAGATCATCAACCACAAGTTCCATTGGTTAAGTTAAACTAAAATGACACAAGAAACAAAAAGGCATTTCTTGAGATTTCTTGAAATTAAATGTGGTCACATTGTAAATATGTTTAATCTGTATTTTCTTTTTTTTTTTAACTTTTAAAATTTTATTTATTTATTTAATTATTTAGAGACAGGGTCTTGCTCTGTCACCCAGTTTGGAATGCAACTGGCACAATCACGGCTCAGTGGAGCCTTGACCTCCTGGGCTCCAGTGATCCTCCCACCTCAGCCTCCAAAGTAGCTGGGAGTACCGGAATGCACCACCACACTGTGCTAATTTTTAAAACAAAATTTTTGTAGAAATGAGGTCTTGCTTTGTTACCCAGGCTTGTCTTGAATTCCTCCCAAAGTGCTAGGATAACAGGCATAAGCCACTGTACGCAGCCTTAATTTTCTTAACAAAGGGAGTCTATCCTAATTTAAAGATGGCTTAGGATTCTGAAATTTGGTACCTCACAAAGGAGATTTTCACAGACTCAGACTACCAAATCTCATGGTATTGTTTTGAAGTTAACTACGAACTTCCACTTTATTGTATTATTTATATTAATACATTTCAGAAACAAAAACCCTGCACGGAAAATGTTTTTCCTCATCTAAAAGTTTCTGTAACTTGCCTTGTTCATTTATTAGATTGTAATCAACAATGCAGCAGGAAATTTTATTTCTCCTACTGAAAGACTTTCTCCTAATGCTTGGAAAACCATAACTGACATAGTTCTAAATGGCACAGCTTTCATGACACTAGAAATTGGAAAACAACTAATTAAAGCACAGAAAGGTATGTTTATTTGCTTTTCTCATATTTGTCTCCTATGTGTGCAAGGTTCTATGCTAAGCTCTGTGATACTTTAAGAGTCAATGAGACAGTCTACACTTGTATAACTCACAATGTAATGGAGAAAAATGATAGTTAAATAATTGTCATGTGTTATGATTTGAGCAGTAATAAATAATATGTTTCAAGTGCACTGGCAATCCAGAGACAGGAATGACTAACTCTCCCTAGGGTCAGTGATCAGATTGAGGAACAAGATGCAATTTAAGCCGAAAGTTTAAAGATATAGATGTGGAGAAGGAGGAGGGAAAGGACACATGAATGCCTGTGGCTGGAGGCTTGGTGGAGAGGAGGTACATAAGTACATAAGGGAATGATGAAAAACTTGATGTCATTAGAGATGGGGAAAGGAGTAGGGAATGACTTTGGGAAGGTGGTTTAGAGTGTAATTGGAAGTTCTAAATAGCAGAATAAGGAGTTTAATGTTAATTCTGAAAGAAATGGGAAGTATTTTTGTATGGATTTCCATTGAAGGCAGAACAAAGAATGTGACTTGATTGGAAAGGTTATTGACAACAAGGTGGACAATAGCAGGAAAGCCATTCAGGAGGATTTGCTTTTTCTTTTAGCTTGTGATTGATTGGATGGGAAATAAAGTAGGAGACATTTAGAAGATAAGATTAACAGGCCTTACTGCTTCAATGAGAGTGTTTTCAGATGGGGTGAAGAGTTTGGGTAATGATGATATCACTGAGAATAAGAACACTGGAGGGAAAATAGATTTAGAGGGAACTTACTAGGAGAACATTTTTGTTAGTATATGAATGAATTTCTTTATAAAAGTTCATATGTGTATGAATGGTAAACATATTCAATGTATGTATGTGTACATTCATATGTATCTAGAACCAGCATACGTTTATTCACTTAACAGACACTTACTAATGACTTTTGTATAGCAGGCCCTATTGTCATGCTGAAAGCACTGAGAAGGACAAGACTGTCCCTGAATAATTTGGGGAACTTGAAAGATGGGGTATTTTCCCAGCACAGGTGGAGAGTATTCCGAACAAGGAAAATGAAGCAGAGTTCTCATGCTCCTCAGAGGATGTCCTTTGAGGGTTGTGGGGAGGAAGGAAGGAATGGAGCTGGCCAGGTTCCTCCCTGTGGTTCAGAAACCTTTGCCTTATGAGATTCAGTTTCTTCTTTTGTGCAGCACAGGTGATCCTAGCACCTGCTTGAGATAGGATGTAGGAGCAGACAGTGGGATGCTACAGAGGCACTAGCTCTTGTGTGTGTGTGTGATTGTGCATGTGTGTGCATACATATGCACACTAATAGCTTCTATCCTTTCTCTATGCGGTTATTGAGATGGAAGTTCCTGCTTACACATTTCCATGACAGCATAGAGGATATGATTTATATTTGGAGTTTGGATGATAAGTGTTTGATTTTTTTTTTTTTTTTTTTTATGGAGGGGCAGGAAGATTGATGAGTGGGAAGGGAGAAAGGGAAGAGTGTGACTCCTCTCTCTTCCCGTCTCTGCCCAGGGAACCTTGGTCTCTGTATCTCTCCTGTGTCTCTGCCCCTGTCTGATTTTCTTTTTCTCTACCCCTTGCTCATGTCTCAATTTCATTCTCTACTGCTCTGCCTCTGTCAACTCCTCATTTTTGGTTCTCTGTTTCTTCATCTCAGTCTCTTTCATTTATTTGTCCTTCTTTACCTCATTGTCTCTTATTTCTTCCCTCATTCATGTCTGTGACCCTCGATTTCTGTCTGACTCTCTCTTCTTTCCTCATTATTGTCTTTCATTTTAACATAGACTCTGATCTATTTTCGTTCATCACATTGGATTAAAATTCTATGGGCGTCATTAAAAATAGATTAGATATCTTTTTAAAAGATGGAAGCCAGTTTTTATTCTTCCAAGATTCCTGTCAGTTATTGATGCTATAAAATCACACTTCGGAGAACTTGGACCACTGGGCTGAGGGGAGTACATGGTTAAAGGATTTGTTCTGGTACTGCATCGGCAGTCAAGGAATTCAAGTGTGTTAGTGTGTGTAAAACCTGGAAGTCAGCTCAGGGGCCAGCAGTCTGTGGTAATCTGTGATCAGAAGTAGGTTAGATGATGGCATCTAGGAAGTCAGCCAAGGTGAGATATCTACAAAGTCAGAGCAGAGAAGACAAAGGTACCAGAAGCTGGAAGACAGAAGCTTACTTGCTGTGGAGAGGAATTGGTGGTGACTCGGAGGGGACTGCAGATGGCTGAGGATCAAGAGTGCAGTGGCCCTAGGAAAGGCAGAGAAACTAGAATTTGTCAGGCGGCACTGATGCAAAATGGACAATTATAAATAAACCAAAGATTTAAGAAATTTCCAAAGACATTAGCTGAGTGAACTCTCACAGCTACAAAGGTCAAAAAATAAATAGGTCGTCCTTATTGGGAAGGATATTGAAAGTATCATGGTGAGGTTCATTCCTCACTAGAATCTAATGTACAAAAATGAAAAAAAAAATAGTAGTATGGAGAACACTACCCAATTTTATTAAAAAATTGAGAGACCTTGCAATCACAGAAGACTGAGAGACTAATACAGAGTTTTAAGAGTCTGAGCATGGAAGATATGGATAGGATAAATATTGAATTTTTCCATCAAATCCTAGATTGTTAGGGAAAAAAAGTACTTCCTAAACCTCACAAGAAGTAATTTTAGGACAGAAAAGAAAATTATTTTGTTGAAGTGACTTTAATAATTGTCTTTTTTTTTTTTTTTGAGACGGAGTCTCCTTCTGTTGTGATCTCAGCTCACTGCCACCTCGACCTCCTGGGTTCAAGTGATTCTTCCACTTCTTGACTAGATTATAGGCATATGCCACCATGCCTGACTAATTTTTGTATTTTTAATAGAGATGGGGTTTTGCTTTGTTGGCCAGGTTGATCTCGAACTCCTGATCTCAAGTGATCCTCCTGCCTTGGCTTCTCCAAAGTGCTGGGATTACAGGCATGAACCACAATGCCCAGCCATAAATAATTGTCTCAGTTTGGACTGCTATAACAAATTACCACAGACTGGGTGGTGTAAGCAACAGACATGGTCAGATTTTTGGTGAGGGCTCTGTTCCTTGCGTCCTTAGATGGCCTTTCTTTGATGTCTCCACGTAGCTAGGGATCTCATATCTTCTTATCTTTCTATAAAAGCATTAATCCTACTATGGGGCACCACCCTCATGACCTAATCCAGTACAAATTACCTCCCAAAAGTCTCACTTCCAAATACTAGCACATTAAGGATTAAGGTTTGATATAGTTTGGTTCTATGTCCCCACCCACATCTCATCTTGTAGCTCCCATAATTCCCACATGTTGTGGGAGGGACCCTGTGGGAAATGATTGAATCACGGGGGTGGGTCTTTCCTGTGCTCTTCTCATGAAAGTGAATGGGTCTTATGAGATCAGATGGTTTTAAAAAACAGTAGTTTCTCTGCATAAGCTCTTTTTTTGCCTGCCACCATCCACGTAAGATGTGACTTGCTCCTTTTCTTCCACCATGATTGTGAAACCGTCCCACCCATGTGGAGCTGTAAGTGCAATTAAACCTCTTTCTTTTGTGAATTGCCCACTCTCAGGTATGTCCATCAGCTGCATGAAAATGTGCTAATACAGAGTTTCAGCATCTGAATTCTCAGGAGGCATACACATTTAGTCCATAGCAGAAATACTTATGTACCATTATAGTGTTTTAGAACTTACAAAGCTCTTTCATACTAGTATATAGTATGAAAAAAGTACAAAACTCAAGTATAAACCTAAATACAGGTAGATTTTTAAAAGATGTAACAGGTAAATCAATGCCATAATACAACCTCTTTTGAAAAAAAAAAAATTAGAGATGGGGTTTCTCTACGTTGACTAGGCTGGTTTTGAACTCCTGGCCTCAAGAAATCTTATCTTGGCCTCCCAATGTACTAGGATTGCAGGCATGAGTTACTATGTCTACTTACTATAATATAATTTTAACATATTATTTTTATAATAGTTTGCTAAAATTGAGGTAAAATCTACATATAGTGAAATGCAGAGATCTTAAATGTGTACAAATTTATGTTTCAATAAACTTACAAACTTAGACACACATACCCCAATCAAGACAAAACATTTCCATTACCCTCAAAGATTCTCCTTCGCTACCTTCCAGTCACTATCTATTTAAATCCTTAGCCCATTTCTTATTGGATTATTTTGTCTATTATTCATTTGTAGAAATTCTTTATATATTCTCTACTGATTACTTTGTCAGATATAGTGTGTATTCAGAATATTTCCTCCCAGCCTATGGTTTGTCATTTCATTTCCTTAACAGTATCTTTTGATGAGCAGAAGAAATTTCAAATTTGGATTAAGTTTCCAAACTGTTTTCTAAACCGGCTGTACTGTATTGCCAATAGCATTCCCGATAGCAGTGTGTAAGTTGGAGTTGCTCCACATCCTTGCCAAATGCTTGCTATAGTTAAGCTTTTTAAACGTCAGCCTTTCTAGGTTTGTGTAGTGGTTTTTCATTTGTGGTGTTAACTTACATTTTCATAGTGACAAATGATGCTGAGCATCGTTTCATGTGCTTATTTGTCATTAATATATATTTTTGATGAAATGTCTGTTCAAATCTTTTGTCTTTTTTAAAAGTTGAATTGTTAAAATATTTTTTCTATGCTTTTTCTATCTGAGAAATCTTTGCCTAACACAAGGTCACAGGTAATTTCTCCATTGTTTTCTTTTTGGTAGTTTCATAGGTTTCCCTCTTACTATTTAGGGGAGACAATAATTTTAAATTAATGTGTGCATATGGTATTGGGTAAAGGTTGAGCTTAATTTTTTTGCTTACTGTATTCATTCTTTTCCTCATCAAACTGCCCCAGACTATTGTTGAAAATCATTGAACATATACAACATGTGCCACATGCAAGTGTACCACTTTTAATCTTTTATACTGTATTTTTACTGT